ATTAGTGCTGGAATGATGGTGAATAATTCTGTTGGTGCCGCATTATAAGGTTAATTATGAATAAAGTGGTGGCTGAAACTGCAAGTTTTCAAATGATTGCCGTGTAATGCAAACAGTTGTACGAAGAGATCATTGATTAGAAACATCTTCTAAAATATTTTGCCTAGTGATATTGCACTTGTGATTAATTCTCCAGCTGTAAATTTCAACTGCTAAAGCTTTAAGAAACAAATATCTGATTTTTCATCTTTGTGTACGACCAGTTCTGACAAGGAGGAGCAAGATGCTGAAGGAGTTTCTTCAATGCTTGGTTTCCAGAGCTACTGGGATTCTGCATATGCTGATGAATTGGCAAATTTTCGTGAGCATGGTCACGCTGGTGAAGTTTGGTAAGCATTAGCAGGACAATACATAGCAACTTTTTCTGTTTTATCCATCCACTTAAGATGTCATTCTTTTACTTTTCTGTCACCATATTTGTAGTTTCAAAGCTTTCAATTTGTGCGTTGCTGTATTTAAACCCAATGAAGAGCTTATGAGCATAGCAATAATAGGTGGGTGAGAGCAATAATAGGCTTTACCTATCCACGGTTCCTGAAAAAGAAGATTTAAAGGAAAACTTAATCTACCTTTACATTTGATGAAGGTCCTTTGATCGGTCATCTAAATTAACAGATCTGATTATATTATACAACGTCACTTATCAAATTTTCTGCTGCTCATGTTTTGTTGCAGCTGATTAAACAATGTCCTTTGGTGGAAGTTCCTCTAGTAATCTAGTAAATTGAACTGGTTTTGTGTATCGTGTTCCCCTCTTTCTTTACCTACTAATTGCCTTATGCATGGAAACAGCTAATACTAACCCAGTGTAACTAACATACTGTAGTTGTGTTCTGCGTTCCCTTAGTCACACATTCATATATTACTATAGCTAGATGAAATTTGGGTATTAACGTTGAGACGTGTTATTATGTGTGTGGATTTGTCATGGAAGTGGGAGAGCAGAGGTTATTTCGGTAAACAGATGCATGAACTGAGGCTCCCATGTCCCGCCGACCCTCCAAAAAATAACTACTTTTGAACTAATATATTGCTTATCCGAAAAAAATAAAGAAAAACTAACTACTGAGTAGTGAGTTCCCACATGCCTTAAAGCCTAACACTATTTACAAATTTCTCACCAAAGATACTGGTAAAACCGTGCGGAATAAGGTGCATGATCATGTCAGCAAGAAGGTATTCAGATAATGCTCTATCCTCAGATTAAGCCCAATTTGTTGCTCTATCAAAAAGTTGCTGCTTTGGATATTAACGTGGACATGGTCAGAAATGCTTCACTTCTGAGCTTTAAAGATCTTCTATCTTGAACATGTCATAGGGTATTTCTCCCTATTCGTGCTTCCTATTATTTCATCATAGTAAACAAGAGAATGACAAAGTTCTATCTAATACTCAGCATTCTTGTTCTGCCTTTACATATAAAGAAACTTTATGCCACTTAGCTGACTGGTTG